GGGCATTCCGACCTCGTGAATGACCTGTATGCATATTTACACACACACACACACACACACACACACACACACACACACACACACACACACACATCTCGTTTGCCCGTGGCACAGCACCTCTCCGTCAGTTTCAGTCCATGGGAGACTAATTAGGTTGTGGTTGTTCACCCACTGGCAGCCTCAAAATTTCTTCTCAGGACCCTCACGCCAGCCCCCTCAAGGCTTGGGCCAGCCAAATATAGTTCATGCATCTGCTTCCTACGCAGCCAAGAGTCTCCTGCCTTCAGATTAAAACTGAAACCACCACCTGTGTCCTAGCACGGGCTCTCGGTGCTTCTGAAACCACACACCGCCATACCACACCACCACAAACTTAAACACTTCTGTTTCCGTCACCTACCTGCTACACCGAATTAGACCAAGAACTAGAAGCTGAATCTTTGTCCCCTTTGTCACTGTGAGCTGCTCACCCCAAAAGAGGGGTACATCCAGTGTAGGAATATTTGAAGACTTTGGTATGTAAAGTTCCAAAGAGACAAATAAACATTGTTTATCTTTATTTAAAAACAAACAACCCCCCCAAAAAAAACAAAACAAACCTTTAGAAAGAAGCAAGCTGTCCTGTTGGAATTGTATCAGATAGATTTCCCTGCTAGCCTGCAAGACCAAAGAAATTGAGTTCATGAGTCTCCCGGAAGACCAGCCACTTACTTAGACTTTGCACAGTATCTTTGCATAATTCAGTCCATTGTCTAAAGTATAGAAATAGGCAAGGCGCCACTTACGCTCCATTTCAGCAGAGCATCCACTTCCCCTGCAGCTGCACGCTATGGACTGCTCCTAATTGAACCACCTGGGTACAAGCCACTCCGGAAGACCGTGCAGCTATCCCAACTATGTTGGATGCCGCAGGTACCGTGGAAGGTTGCTTTTCTTCCTTATTATCATTAATTATTGCCTCCAAGCCAAGATCTCAGTTCCCAACCTCAACACAGCCTGAGGCCTGGAAGGCGAGGACCCCATGCATTCCCCCCCCACCCCCCCCCACACACACCCGCAGAATCTGGAAGCCGCTGGAAGGCGGGGAGAGTCAATGTGCACAGCTCTGTCCCAGAAGCACACTGCGTGGGGCTGCACACTTCAGACAACTTCAGCCCTGCAAGCTCAGAGAGCAGGTGCTGCAAGTCAGTTAGTTAATCGCCTTTTGGCAGCGAGAGCCATGACTGGCTGCTGCTTCCAGTTCCCCAGCACAGACGCCTGCTGCTTCTAATGAGGCTTCATTAGCAGGTATGAAAAGGCCCTGCTGGCCCCTGGACGCTGCCAGCTCCTTTTTGAAGTGAGGCTTCCTCTTGAAACATCATGGTACAATTACCCATTGGCAGTGGTTCCCTGACAGGTGGCGGGGGAGGGGGAGGCTGCTGCTGTGGTGACAAGCATTTGTTCTGGGGTAGATGGGTGAAGGGCTCTGTCTGGATTCCTCCTCAGCACAGCGGAGCTCTTTCCACACCATGCAACTCTACTCCACTGGATTCTGGGTGTCCGGGCGTGCACCCCCATGAGGCTGCTGGAACACCCATTGGCTTGGAGACCCCACATCCTTTGATAGCATTGTCCTTAAATTTTACTTCAAGGTTACTGGTACTGTTTTTGAGCATGGACCGATGCTCAAATGTTTTGATGGGTTTGGGGAATACCAATAAAAACGAAGACCATTTCTGCCCTCGCGGGTTGACGGTCTTGGTGGGGAGTTCAGATGTACATGTAAAAGAGGCAGCAAAGCAAAGTGGCACTTTACAGTTGGCATGGCCCTTTCCCTGAATTCCTTTTGTCATCAGAGGCATGAAAAGAGATATCCAGGTCTGACTTCAGCTGCTTTTCAACAACAGGATTCAGTAAGTGCCATCTAGAACCACACTGGTCTTTGTTTGAGTTGCCTACCCACGTTCTTCAGTAAGCCCTGTCTTTATCTCATCACATTTGTTTGTTGGGAGGAGCGTGTCGTGGTGCAGGCGGAGGTCAGAGGACAACTTTCAGAGGTTGGGTCTCTCCTGCCATGTTGCTCCTGGGGATCAAACTCAGGTCATCAGGCTTGGTGGCAAGTACCTTTACCTCCGGAGCCGTCTTGCTGGCCCACTAGCTTGCCTCTTGGAGGGAAAACACAGGATCTTATCAACGGTTGCCACTAGCAAACAAAAATGGGAGATGTCTGGCCTAATTCGTCACAAAACCAATTTGTTTTTAGCATAAGTATGCCCTACATATCATAGAAGGTTTTTTTTCTTTTCTTTTTTAAAACAGGGTCTCATTATGTATCCCTGGCTAGCCTAGAATTCACTATGTAGACCAGGCTGGCCGAGAACTCACGAAGAGCCACTAGCCTCCCTCTGTCTTCAGAGTGCTGTGATTAAAGGCATGCACCGCCACACCAGTGTTCTTTTTATTGTTTGCCGCTGCTGTTGGTTTGATTTGGTTTTGGTTTTTGACTCAGGGTCCCAAGTGACCCAGACTGCCATCAAGCTTGCTATGTAGCTGAGGCTGACCTTGAACTCCTGCCTCCCTCCACCCGCCAAATAGTGGAATTATAAAGATGTATCACCACACCCAGTTTGCACAAGATAGTCGTTTTTTGGGAGGAGTGGGGATTCAAGACAGGGTTTCTCTGTGTGGCCCTGGCTCTCCTGGAACTCAACTCTATAGACCAGGCTGGCCTCAAACTAAGAGATCTGCCTGCCTCTGCTTCCCGAATGCTGGGACTAAAGGTGTACACCACCACTGCCCACATACAAGATAGTATCTTAACAACAGCAACAACAACAACAAAAAATTATCTGAGAGTGGGGCCTGGAGAGACAGTCCAGTTGTTAAGAACATCCAGAGGACCCTAGTTCGATTCCATATCAGGGCTCTAACTCTATCTCCATGAGATCCAATGCCTTTAGCCTTCATGAGCACACACACACATCAACACACACACATACTTGTGGTTAAAATAAATATTTAAAAACTTATCTGATAGCCCTAAAGCTATCAGACAGAAATATTCCATGATTCATGCTCTCCGCAAGGTTATCTGACCACAAGAGACACATAAAAGGTTAGCTAGGATATTATCACCAGATAGCCCAACCCAGGAATTAGGGAAGGGGTCACTCAGACTGTGTGTTTGCCATTGAATCAGCAGCTCCAGAAATGAACCTGCTGGAAGAGCGAAGCAGTAAAGCAAGCTATTTTCGAAGCCGGAGGCACTGGCTTAATTAGATCATATAGGCTGGTTCTTTTGAACAAAAGGTTGAGCAGGATCCCAGCATAGCCAGATCTGTGCAGTCAACAGAAAATGCAATTTTCCCTATCATGCTCCAGAGGAAACGTTCTTTTTCTCCTCTTCCTATGAGCAGGAGGTAATTCACACCACGGGGAGTCCGGCTCTTTGCATAATTCTCCATCCAACACAAAGGAAAGCCGTGCTGCCTGTTAGGAGAGCCAGCTCTGCAAGGTGCAATTCAAGATTTAGAAAAGCAAATTAGAACACTGTATGTCTGTGTGTGTGTGTGTGTGTGTGTGTGTGTGTGTGTGTGTGTGTGTGTGTATGTGTGCAGCTGAAGTTCTCATTAATACCCCAAATATGAAAAGAAAAAAAATGAAAACAAAACTCACAAGCTGAAGCTGAACAGCCAGCCTGCTTTGCAAACCCAACAAGAAGACACTGAAAACCAGAGGTCGCAAACTCGGACGCTTGGTAGTGTGGTGGGGGCTTTGAGAAGAGAATGAAACAAAGCCGGCAGGAAATCCATAACCTAGCCGTGAATCGGGCTCCCTGTCATTTCACTTCCGGTGACCCGGAGAAGACGAGATAAGCATCTGGGGTAGTAAGCTGTCCCGGGGAAGCACTGGTATAGCTGTACATAGTTTGGGGAAATGAGGGCTGGCAGTTCACCGAGCAGCACATCCTGCCAAGTCGTAGTTCCTCCCGCCCAGACTGAATTATCTTCCTCCATGAGGATTTACCCAGCCCCGGTACGTGTCTACACCTGTTAGGTACCAACAACACGGTATGTGCAGAATGCAGACCCGCCTTTACTCTAGCATGGTCCGACTGATACAGAATGCAAGCTACGTGGATAACTTTAAATTCTCTAATAGTTGAGGGGTAGGGGGAATTTAGCAGGTGAAATTAGTTTTAGTCACATTTCAATGATTGCCATATACTTAAACTCCTATCATTTATGATGTAATCAGTATTTTAATTATTTTGGAATCAATTTCCCTTTAATTTTTTCCCCAACTTTATATTTTTATTAATTATTTGAGAATTTTATGCAGGTATTTTGCAT